TGAAACTGAGGAGATGTGCACCCAGGGGTGGCATTCTGAGTTAGGGAACAGCCACAGACCCTAGGCTATATAACAATAGAGGAGTGTCACCAGTGAAATCTGAAATAATTGAAGAACCAAAGGTTTGAGCTTCTGAGCATATCAATTTATTATACAATGCATGCCAATTGCATAAAAAATCAGGACCAGGCATCCTCAGCTTGGCACTGGATCCCAAATACATGGACAGACAGATTTTAATGCATTAAAGGAAAACAATTAACAGGAAATAAACCTAAGTACACATTTAGGTAATCTGATTTCTAACTGGAGGAAAGATTAGGGGCTTTCCAAGTTGAGAGGAAAAGAAAAAACAGGTGCAGTTCCCTGAAATCAGAAAAATAGGTATCCCACTCCCCACTCCATGGGTTTGTAATCAAAGGAACAAGGAAACAATAACTGATTGACCAATATGGGTCAAGTTTTCAGACAAGACATGGGTTGCTTGAGATGTAATTGTAAGAAAACCCCTTATATCAATCTTCAAACCTGATTGGATTTCTGGTCAGCATAACCTGACCTTTGTCTCTAAGCAACAGATAGAGGCGGTCCATCTTCCTAGCCATTCAGGGTGAGATTCAAACAATGCAGTAAAGTTTTCTCACAATTGCTATAATTGAATAAAGTTTTCTCATAAGCCAAAAACTGGACTAGACCTGTAAGTGAACAGAAAGGGAACTGAGCTAGATCCAGAATTGAGTCGTAAGATGGAGTCAGTTTGGTTCATGTAATTCCCACAGTTCTCTCAGGAACAGATTCAAATGTAAACAGTAGCTGTGTAGTTCAAACTCCAGTAGCTAGTGAGGCCTCAGTCCCAGCTTCTATCCCAGTCGAAAGGCTTCAGAGGAATAACCGGGGCAGGAATCACAGTCCAAGGAAGAGCCTGCAGTTCTGTCACTCTGAACCAATAGAACTCCGCAGCTAGCTAAGAGTGGCAAAGTCCAGCAGCAGTGTACCTGATCCTCAAAACTGATCAGAAACTAGCAGAGCTTAAACTAATGAAGCAACAATTAGACTTTGCCCTGGATCAAACCACTCTGGGAGTTCTGAAAGCTTATAGGTTCGTAGCCTTTCCCTGAGATTCTGGAATGAAACAATACTCAATACTCCAAGAAAGCAGCAGTAGGACCAGTCTAGACCTTTAGAAGTTCACAGACTCTAGCCTTGACATAAAGTTTGAAGTCAGGAAGCAAACTGGAAAAATGAGCAAACAAAAAAAGAATCCCATCATAAAAAGCTATTATGGTGTTAAGGACAGTCAAATCATAAACTCAGACAAAGAGAAAAACTCTAAAATATCTTCAAACAAAGCATGAGAAAACACAGCTTGGGCACAAATTCAACTCAGATTCCTAGAAGAGCAAGCATTTAAAAAAAGGAAAATGTTTTTATAAGTGAAATAAGAGTACTTGAGGTAAAAACTAGAAAAGAAATTAAGAGCTATGGAAGAAAGAATTGTAAAGGGAATTAACAGCTTTAGCACAAGAGGTATAAAACCTTGCCTAAGCAACAAACTCCCCAAAAAACAGAATGAACCAGATAGAAGCTAATGACTCTATGAGACAAAAAAGAAATATTAAAACAAATTAGAAAGACTAAAAAACAGAAGAAAACATATATCATCATGAAAGCAGATTGAGGGGCAGCTAGGTGGTGCAATCAAGAGTCAAGAGGACCTGAGTTCAAATCCAGCCTCAGATGCTTAACCTTTACTTACTTGCTGTATGACCCTGGGCAAGTCACTTAACCCTAATTGCCTCATTAAAAAAAAATGAAAATAAAAAGCAGATAGAGGAGAAAAAAATTAATGATGATTGGATTATTTGAACACCATTTCCTAAAAAAGAGCCTAGATATCTTACTTCAAGAAATCATAAAAGAAAACTGGCTAAATCTTTTACAACTAGAGGGCAAGAATTCAGCAGTCACCTTCTGAAAGAAGCCCCAAAATAATGTAAACTCTCAATAATGTCATAGCCAAATTCAGTTTAAAAAATGTCAAAGTTAAAAGTTTTTTTTAAAAAAATAAGCAGCTAGAAAGAATTGAAGAACTGAGAAGACAATTATAATCACATATGATTTATCAGCCACCATTGTAAAGGAGTAGAGAGCTTAGCATATTATATTGCTGAGGGCAAAGGATATTGGCCAAGAATAACAACCAACAAAACTGAATATAATGGAGAGAAATGGGCCTTTAATGAAAGCATTCCTGATGAAAAGACCAGAAGTGTGTAGAAACTTTGAATTTCAAACACAAGAGTTAATAGAAACATAAATTGTAAACATGAATGTGCAATGATAAGGGATTTAACAAGTATAAACACTACTTACATTAAAATATGAGAGCCCTATCATCATCAGGGGTCAAAGAGGAAATTTAATTTGACAAGGCCTGGGTGTGGTTCTGTTGTGTCTTTATGATTTTAAGAGAAGAATGGAAAGAGAAGGGAACTGGAATACAGTAGAGGTACTCGGGTAAGGAAGAAGATTGGGGGAGATTATATCACACAATAAGGGTACAGACTAGGAGGAAGGGATGGGGGAAGCAGCTAACACTCGAATCTCTTAACTGAAGAAGTAAGTGTTGGTGCACACACACACACACACAGAGTTGGCTAGAGAAATACATTTCATTCAACAGAGAAATAGAAGGGAAATGTGAGAAATGGAAAAGAAGAATTAAAGGGAGAGTAGATTAAAGGAAAGATTAGTCCTAAGCAAAACAAAGTCTCAATTAAAAATGTACAAAAATATAAGCTCTTTTTGAGATATCAAAGAATGAGAATCCGAAAAAGTACCTATGAAGTGGGTAATGGCTTTGAAAATGAACAATTTGTGGTATATAAATGTGATAAAATGTTACTGTGCAGTAAGAAATGATGAAAGGGATGGTTTCAGACAAACCTGGGAAGACTTGTGTAAACTGACATAGAGTGAACAGAGCTAGGTGAGCAACTAATACAACAGCAGTACAGTAAAGTCCAATAACTTTCAAAGACTTAGCGACTCTGATCAGAATAATAATCAATCACAGTTTTAGAAGATCAGTGATGAAACCTGCTGACTACTTCCTGACAGAGACTTTAAGGACTCAGTGCAGAATGAGACCAAAAAAAAAATTTTTTAATACAGCCAATGGGAAAATTTGTTTGACAAGACTATACAAGTTTCTGGAGCGGGGTGGGGTGGAGATATTTTTCTTTTGTTCTTAATTGTGGGCAGGAGTTAGAATGGGAAAGTGAGAAAACAGTTTTTTGCTAATTGAAAAAAATATAATCTTTAAAGGGCAAACTATATATAATAGAGGCCTGCAGTTTCATGTATAATCTTCTTTTTCTGTTTAGCTATGTATATGAAAATGCTCATTTTATTTGGTGTTTGTTAAGTTCAGAATAAAAATAAAAAAGTTTACCTGTATGTCCTAGCTGAAAGTGGCTTACTCACCTAAGTAAAGCTGAGCAATTGTATAAGATACAACAATGGTATATGGGTTAGGGGTGGGGAACCTGTGATCTTCTAGGTCCTCAAGTGCGGCCTTTTGACCAAGTCCAAGTTTTACAGAACAAATCCTGTTATTAAGGGGATTTTCCTGTGAAGTTTGGATTCAGTCAAAGGGCCACACTTGAGGACCTAGAGGGCCACATGTGGCCTCGAGGCTGCAGGTTCCCCATCCCTGCTGTCAATCCTCAACTTTCACAGGAGTAAAATTCAGAAAACAGTTCGAAAGTCAAAAATGTGAATGTTGATACATTGAACCTTTGGGAAACAGGGGGTTAGGTTTGTGTAGCCACCAAAAAACTAATCTTTCACTAGAGATTGCTGAAAACACTTTTCTGCATGCAATTCTTTATAACAAAACATTAATTCTGATAATATGCACTTTTCCAAAGAGTGTAACCATGAAATAATCCATAAAATACAAAATAGATACACAAAATAAAATTGGTAATATGCAAAACATTTTTTCTCTCTAGTAATTCCCTAGAACTGCCACCTTTTTTGCAAACATTTCAATAAAAAAACATTGATTTCAGATAATATTCACTTTTCATAACATATGAGATATACTATAAATACTGTACAGCAAATAAAATTTTTAAAACTAAAACATTTTTTAACCTGAATCTTACCTTCCACTGTATCAGTTCACTAGCATTACAAGGGCATTGTATATATTATACTGCTGCAAAACTCTCTACCTTAACTGCCCTCTGAAAACCAAGGGAAAGGGAAGACTCCCAGATTGGCAAAGTCTCAATATCACTTCTGACACTCTTGTCCTTCATAGCTAGCTGATGGATGGCACTGGAGATCATGAAGAACCCACCAGCTTGAAATAATCCAACAGCTACATCTGCTTTGTGAGCAGTTTGAGATCCTTACGGCTATGCCAGCTGATAATGGTTGCAGATATTTTGGCACCAAGTTTATCCAACACCTTTATTTTCTCACTAAGCTGCGTCACTGACTTTGCACACTTGGGCTTAGAACCCAAAGGACTTCCATTATGCTTTGGGGGCATAATTGCAACACAAAACTTGGGTTTTAAAGACAAAGAATTAAAATATACAACAAATTCACAGGAGCTCTTTATAAACAGGGTGAACAAGACCAGTAAAGCACCTAATAAGATACCAGCTGCTCCACAAACTTGAAGACATCCTGCCTTTCATTTTTTTCTCTACTGTATAACAACAATAGGAGAATACTTGAAGTCAATCAAGTTAAATTCATGAATGTTAAGGATTGACTCTATGTGCCATTTGGTAAATAATGTCTATTTGTTCATGACTTAGGATGATCAACTAGTTAATACATAGTTTTAACCTCCCACAAATATATAGATGTATATAATTTTTACATGAACCTCCTATAATTATGTGTATTGTATGCATATGTATATACATACTATATTGTGTTATATATTTTGTTAGTAATTAGCTAATTTGTTTACATAGGATTCAAGGAAATCTCACCTGAAAAACTGCAGAACTGGAACACAGCTTTAACTTCTCAAATTAGTATCATTACCCAAAGAAGGGATGCTATGACTCATCGCGTAATGTCAGCAAGGCTTCATAAGATTAAGGAACTGAAAAATGAATTAGCTGATATTCATCGTAAACTAGAAGCAACTGTCTTAGAAAACCAACTGTTGAAACGACTTCATTTCAGGCACTTGAAAGCAATAGGAAAATATGAAAATTCACAAAATAATTTACCCCAGCTTATGGCTAAACATCAAAGTGAAGTAAAAAATCTAAGGCAACTTCTTAGAAAATCTCAGGAGAAAGAAAGAAATGTGTCCAGGAAACTTAGAGACACTGACAGTGAGTTGTTAAAAACCAAAGATTCCTTGCTAACATTGCAGAAACTTTCTGAAGACAAAAATCTTGCAGAGAGAGAAGAACTTACACAAAAATTATCTGCCCTTACCACAAAAATGGAGGCAAATGACAAAACAATACAGGTTGGTTTTTAAATTATGATTTAAAATTTTTTGTATAACAACGGCTATGATTTTTAATCGGTGTAAAATATCTTTTATATATTAGCAGTACTTGGCATTTTATAATATATGAGATAGTGTGGTATAATGAAACAGAATCTGTAGCTTTGCTGGTAAGTAAAGCCCATCAAATCCAAATAGTTTCAAAAGGTGAAAGAAGAGCTATATTGAAGCCAGTATAGCGATTAAAGAGAGAAAAAGGGATACTAATGCTAATGTTTAAATCATATGGCGGGAAGGAACAATGATATTAGTTTGCATGAAACAGTTGTTCTGAAGCAGTAGTATGGAACTTATTTTCTATCTAGGACCACTGATCAATCTAAAAAAATCAAGTAATGGTTATACAAGTAAAACAACAAAATAAAACAATTTAGTTTGGGGGGGCGTTAATGATGAAAATGTAAGACATTTTTAAATGAATGGAGCACATAAAACTCTATCCAATAATTAAATCACACATTAACATATTTTTACATATAGCTAAGAGCATCTAAGGGAGAAAGAGGGGGAAAGATATAATGGAAAGAGAAAAGGGCTGAGTTGGGGGAAGGTGAAAGACAAAGATAAACTACTTAGCATATGTTTCCAGACCACAAAATACACATCCTTGCCACTGCTACCACCAACAAAAAATTGCCTTAAATTCCCCCCCATAAGGTTTTGTACAAACAAATATAATATATCTAAGTTGAAAGGGGAAACAATTAATGGGGGGGAGGGGAGAGAATCTTTGCAAGTTTCTGTAATAAAAGTCTCATTGCCAACTGTATTAAGGAAGTGATTCAAATAATTAATAAGAATAAGAGCTATTCCCCTAAATGATAAATGATTTAAGGGTTTGAACAAGTGATTCTCAAAGGAAGAAATCTAGCCTTACTATAGGCATATGAAATCTTGCATCTGTCTAAGCTTTGCTTACAATTTATTTTTGATGGAGTTAAATGCTGCCTCCTTAGAGATGGACAAACTGTCCTACCAGGAAACCCTGTGGTGTTTGCATTTAGCAGTTTCTGAATTTCCCCATCATTTTCATCAAACCAGCCTTGATGTTTGTGAGTGTTCTGGCCCAGAGAAATAAATGCAGTGCTGTACACGAAATCTCTGAAACGAACTCACTCCTCTTCGGCTCCACTGTTGCCAACTGTGTGTTGGCTCAACTTTCCCTCCAAGTCAGCAGCAAACTGTTCATACATGGAGACATTAAGTCTTCTGGTAATTGTCTTGCCTCGGGGCCACCCTTTTTGTTGAATGTGAATGTTTAGCTTAAAGAGGATAAGTCTATGATCAGTCCAGCATGCTGTGCCACACATTGCCTTTGTCACTCCCACATCCTGTCAGTCTCTTCACCTTAGAATGATGTCATTTATTAAATGCCAATGTTTGATGTGAAGGTGCATCCACAAAGTTTTATTGCACTTAGGTAAATGGAAGACAGTGTTGGTGATGAGAAGGTCATGAAACGCATAAATCTTCAGTGGTATGTAACCATTCCTGTTGCTGTTTCCAATTCTCTTTCTCCCAAGCACTATCTGCTATATGTGATAGTCTGTGACTTGTCTGGCATTCAAGTCACCAAAATTACAAGCTTGTCTTCTTTCGGCACATTGATGAGGAGAGTCTCCAGGTCTTCATAAAATTTTTCTTAGACCTCATGAGGCTTTGTCACGGTGGGAGCATATGCACTGATGATGATGGCATGGCACTTTCCTGCAAGTGACAATTACATTTTCATGAACCTTTCTTTCACTCCTTTTGGGAAGGATACAAGCTTATTGACTAGATTAGATTTAGTTGCAAAACCTATGCTAGCTTCACAATGCTCCCCATCACTGTGGCCACTCCAAAAAAATATGTTTCCAGCTCTAACTTCAGTAAGCTGGCCTTCATTTGCCAGCCTTGTTTCACTTGGGGCTGCTATTTGGATACAATCCTGCTGAGTTCTCTCTAACAACAGGAGCTGTTCCTCTTTCAGGTCTATTGGATTTCATGTTATCCATAAACATGCACACATTTCACGTACTAATGGTGAGTGGAATCATCTTTGCAAAAGTTTTTGTATTTTTTTAATGTTTTGACCACTGAATAGGATCATCACCTGCTGTGGTAAGCAGGGCAGGGTTAGGTTAGGTGAAGCAGATAATTTTTAGGGTATCTTTTCTACCCCATTCCTCACGCAAGGAGGTGAGCAGTGCCGTCTTTAAAAAAGCTGCTCAGACACCCAGAAGGCTGCATCTCAACTAATTATTCCTATATCATTTTGAAAAATTCAAGGACTTTAATACAGATGACTGATTTAATACAGACAAACAAGATCTTGTATAAATCTTATTTGTAAACCTGCCAGCTTCAGCAAGATCATGAATCATTATCAACCCTATGAAAGAATTTGTGTGTTGATTTATTTTGGGAACAGGATCTCCCTCCCCCATTACAAACACTCCTTGAATAAGGGTGAAAAGTGGGGAAAAAATTTTTTTGACTGTGTATAGTATAGAAATGCTTTATGTGATGATTTGTGGTTATGATAATTTTGAAATTATATTTGGAATAGTTAGTGCTAAAGTTACATCTTGAAGCAACTTACTCTTAACAGACTCTAGTCATGGAAATATATTTTATGACTGTAAACAGGCAGATGGCAAACCCAAGTCCTCATCTATATAGTTGTTTAGGGTATGGAATTGACTATAATCTCAGAGTGAAAACAGTAAGAAGTGCTAAGGTATCACATCATAAAAAATAAAAATCACAGCAGAACTACATTGATCAGAATGCTATGAAAGGGAGAAGCCTGTTAGGTGCACTAAAGCACCATCAGTACTGGTCCTTCAGGCCCTCCAGGCCCAAGGATACAGAATGACTCAGCACATGTATCCTCAGTTCCATTTGATCTCAAGTAATAATAGTATAAAGTATATGAATGGATACCACAGCCAGGCTCAGAATTGACTAGGATTTCTTATACAGGAAACTGAGTCAAGAGAGTTTTCCCTTAGGCTTCCCAAAGTTACCCTCCCAACCATTTTCCCAGGGACCAATATCCACTGGCTGTCAATCACAAATCTCACTTTCATTGAGCTGCTTGCATTTTTCTTGAAGTAGTAAAACATTGGCTGAAAGACACAACAAACCTGAAGACAAAGCTCAAAAAGAAAATTCAGGGTCCCAAAAGGTTTCACCTCAAACAGCAAAGTCTCACTAATCACACTAAGACTGGACACAATTGTTTTCAATACTCTCAAATTGTTGCAATAAATAAGCTAGCAAATAAATTATCAGACCTTCTAAAAAAATCACACAAAAGACTGTATTTAACATTCTTTTCTTCTATTATTTACTTTCCCAAATATGGCTTAAAATTCAGCCTGAAGTAAAAGGTAGTCATTAGATTTTAGCAAAGCAATTTTATTATGTAAATTCACATTGTGAATATATTATGATAGTTTACTAACATTTTGTTTTAAAAAAACAAAAATACATTTCTATGACTAGTCTCTTAAGAGTAAGTTGGTTCAAGATATAACTTCAGCCCTGACTATTCCAAATATAAGTTCAAAATTATCATAACAACAAATCATCACATAAAGCATTTCTATACTACAAACTGTCAAAAATTTTTTTTCAATTTTTCCCCCTTATTCAAGGAGTGTTTGCAATGGGGGAGAGGGATCCTGTTCCCAAAATAAATCAACACACAAATTCTTTCACAGGGTTGATAATGATTCATGACCTTGCTGAAGCTGGCAGGTTTACAAATAAGATTTATACACGATCTTTTGCTCGCACCCTTTCTCCTTTTTAAAAAAAAATAATCAACTATTATTTTCCCTTTTAAAATATACCCATTTAAATGCTATTTTCACATAATGACAATAACCTCTAATAACTTGATTAGTAATTTCACAGTATCTAAACTGAAAGGAATTAAAATCTCCAGTGACATATTACCATTCCCTTAATAGCATTTCTTATAAAATGGTTTCCCAGATTTTACAAGACAATTAAGAAACATGATAGTAGGTCACAATATCATGAATTTAAAGCATGAAACAAAACTCCATACTAATCATATGATATTAATTCAATTAAATGCATTTCCAAATTATCTTTATATAGAAAATCATTCAATTTATCACAAGTGGCTTTTAAAATCACAATCCCCATGGGTTGGAAAGGCATTAGTACAAAACACATTTCATTAAATACCCAAGTAGCAAAAAGGAAACATATGCATAGGCCAAATGAGATCACATAAAACAAATGAATCTCACAGTAAAAATATTAAAAGATATATGTAAGGCTTTACCAGTTTAAATTTAGAAATGTCATCGTTAGACCAATTCAAAATATTCAGGGCTAAAGATTATAAGCCATTGTTAAAATATCTTACTATATACTAAATAATTGGGCTTATAAGATCTCAGGAGTCTTCCTGAGATTTACAAATCTTAAAGAGATTTCTGCTATATCAAAATTATAGTAAAAACATTATCATTATCTATTGCAATTCTAAATGAAGTTTCAAACAATTTACATCATGCTTGCAACAACTGAATCCATAACAACTGAATCAATAACCCAAAAGAATCCAGATTTTAAAAGAATTTACCACTTTACCAATATTCTTATTAGAATGAATTATCAAATTAATGTTAGGTACCATCTTTATCCACATTACAGATTGATAAATTGAAGTAACTTCTTTTAAGATCACACAATTAACAAATTACCTGATCCATGCATTTTTAACACTTTGTCTAAATGTCAAAAAGTAGCATAAACTCTGGCATCATGAGCATCTTACTAAGAGAGACATATTTCACTTAAAACTGAGACCAGAATAATTAAATTTATTACACCTGGATTTATTTAAATATATAAGTCTAAATCATGTGCCCATTTTGACTTTATTTTGGTATAGGATGTATGTTGTTGATCTATACCTAATTTCTGCCGTACTTTTTTTTTTCAGTTTTCCCAGCAGTTTTTGTCAAATAATGAGTTTTTTGTCTCCAAAGCTTGATTCTTTAGGATTCTCCAAGTATACCATCATATCATCTTCAAAGAGTGATAGTTTTGTTTCCTCATTGCCTATTTTAATTCCTTCAATTTCTTTTTCTTCTCTTATTGTTATAGCTAGCATTTCTAAAACAATATTGAATAATAGTGGTGATGATGGGCATCCTTGCTTCACTCCTGATCTTATTGTGAAGGCTTTTAGCTTATCCCCATTACAGATAATGCTTGCTGATGATTTTATTTTTTAAAATATTTTATTTTCCCCAAAATACATGTAAAGACAATTTTTAACATGCATTTAAAAAAAATCTTGAGTTCAAACTTTTCTTCCTTCCTCACCTTTCCCCTCCCTGGGATGGTAAGCAATTTGATGTAGGTTTTACATGTGCAGTCATGAAAAACATATTTCCATGTTAGTCATGTTGTGAAAGAACACACAGACCCAAAGAAAAAAACACACAAAAATAAAGAAAATGAAAAATACTATGTTCCAATCTCCATTCAGACTCTATCTGTTCTTTCTCTGGAGATGGATAGCATTTTTTCATCATGAGCCCTTTGATATTGTCTTGGATCATTATATTGCTGAGTTGATCAGTATACAATATTGCTGTTACTATGTATAATGTTCTCCTGGTTCTGCTTACTTCACTTTGCATCTGTTCATCTAAGTCTTTCCAGGTTTTTCTGAAATCAGCCTGCTTGTAATTTCTTGTAGCACAATAGTATTCTATTACAATCAAATGCCACAACTTATTCAGGCATTCTCCAATTGATGGGCATCCCCTCAATTTCCAATTGTTTGCCATCACAAAGAGAGCTGCCATAAATTATTTTTGCACAAGTAGGTCCTTTTCTCTTTTTTTTATCTCTTTGGGATACAGACCTAGTAGTGGTACTAAGTCAAAGAGTATACACAGTTTTATAGCCCTTTGGGCATAGTTCCAAATTGCTCTCCATAATGGTTGGATCAGTTCACAACTCCACCAACAATGCATTAGTGTCACAGTTTTCCCACATTCCCTCCAACATTTATCATTTTCCTTTTCTATCATATTAGTTAATCTGATAGTTGTGAGGTGGTAACTCAGAGCTGTTTTCACTTGCATTTCTCTACTCAATAGTGATTTAGAACATTTTTTTTCATATGATTATAAATAACTCTGATTACTTTGTCTGAAAACTGCCTGTTCATATCATTGACCATTTTATCAATTGAGGAATGACTTGTATTCTTACAAATTTGACTCAGTTCTCCATAAGATAAATGAGGACTTTATCAGAGACATTTGCTGTAAAAATTAATTTTTTCTGCTCTCCCTCTAAACTTGGTTGCATTGATTTTGTTTGTGCAAAAACGGTTTAATTTAATGTAATCAAAATTATCCATTTTATATCTAGTATTGCTTTCTATCTCTTGTTTGGTCCTAAATTCTTCCCTTATTCGTAGATCTGAGAGGTAAACTATTACTTGCTCTCTTCATTTGCTTATGGTATCACCCTTTATGTTTAAATCATGTATCCATGTCATATGATTATAGATAGCTTAGATTAGTTCATCTGAAAACTGCCTGTTCGCATCCTTTGACCATTTATCAATTGAGGAATGACCAAATTTTTTTTTAATCATTTTTCAAATGGCTAGAGATGTGACTTAATGAAGATTGACATTTTCATAGCTAGTGTCACTATGAATTAAAACTTCACATAAAAATGTATTCTGTCTTTAGAGCTTAGAAAGACAGCTGAGATTGAACAGTAATGCCTTTAATCGTCAATTAGCTGCTGAAAACAGAAAGACTATAACTGCCAAAACTGCTACAAAGAACCTTCAAATGGAAGTAAAACGCCTTCAACAAAAACTTAAGGTATTCCTTTAAAAATATCATCTATTATATGCATGTACAGTATTGAGATCTTTTCATAGAACAATATTAGTTACTTGAAATGATTTATATGTCTGAATAAGTGAACTGAATAGGCCTCTTAAATTTTTTAAGTTTGTGTACTGAGATATCAACAAGCAGAGGATCTAACTTAAGTATTATCATTCGTTAATCAAAAAGTCAACAGAAATGTGCTATGAGTATTCTAAAAGGTTCTATGTTGAGTAAAGTGCATTGGCTTTACTGTATGGGTTTTATGATATTGAAGTGGAATTTTTTTTTAAAAATGTTCATTTTATTTTTGAGACTGGGTTTCCCTATCTCACCTAGTCAAGTACATCTGCCACTCATGAGTCCAGTCCCAATACTGAATGGTATGGGACCTTTAATCTACACCTGGGCCAATTTGCCCCTCCTTAGGAAATGTGGTGGCCCCCTGTTTCCCTGGGCTCTAAATTGGTATCAGACTCGGTATGGACATTAGCCCTACTACAACTCAAAACTCCTAAACTCTAGTGATACATCAACCCCAGCCTCTAGAAAAGCAAAGACTACAGGTGTACACCACTATACTTGGCTTGGGATTCTAATAATAAATTATAATATACTAATAAACTAATTTTACTTTGGCACTAATTTAAAGAACAAAACAGGTAAGATTTGCTTGTTCCTCAAGCGTATGTGCTTCAAACCAGTATTATAATACTTGCATTTAGGAGCATCATACCAAGGATGATAAAAGGAAGCCCTTAATGGCACAGTGGACAGAATCCTGGGCCTGGGGTCAGGAAGATTGAGTTTAAATCTGACCTCAGATACTTACTAGCTATGTGACTCTGTGAAAATCATTTAAACTCTGTCTTGGCATCTTCTTTAATGAGAATAATAGTAGCACCTAGCTCCCAGGGTTGTTGTGAGGATCAAAAGAGATTTAAAATTATAAAGCACTGGGGCAGCTAGGTGGTGTAGTGGCTAGAGCACCAGCCCTGGATTCAGGAGGACCGGAGTTCAAATCCGGCCTCAGGCACATAACACTTACTAGCTGTGCGACCCTGGCCAAGTCACTTAATGCCATTGCCTAGCCAAAAAAAAAAAAAAAATTTATAATGCACTTAAAACAGTGCCTGGCACCTGGTAAGAGCTATATGGATATTAGCTATTATTAAAGAAAGTGTTATATTGCTTTTTTCTTAGGAAAAAGATCGAGAACTTGATATAAAAAATATATATACTAACCGGTTCCTTAAAAATTTATGTGACAAAGATGAGCAAACAAAAGGTAAATCTGAATGAGTTCCCTTTTTTATTTTGAAAAATAAAATCAATTGTAGTTTTCATTAGATTGAAAAAATCTTATACAATCCATCCTTAAAATCCAAAAGTGTCCCAATTTGTTCCCAGTTTCCAGTCCAGGTATTGTCAAAATCTTTTGACTGTCAGTTCTAGTCACACAATGATCGTTAGCCTAAATTCTCATTCAAATTCTTATTTTAGAGAAGGAAGAAAGAAATGTAATTTACTGATTAATTATTTGTTATTTTAGGAAACCATGAGAAGACCATTGAATCTTTCAAAGGTAATTTTTTAACTGCCCTCTTTTTAATGGTAAATTCAAATTCTCATTTGTAGCTGGGAAGCAGTCTGAAATGCCCTATCTTTGCAAACTCTTAGCACTTAAAAAGTCAGAAGGAATCAAATTTCTTACTGATGTGTTGGCTACAGCAGATGCCACATCTTTTAGTAGGAGTGGGGCCCATAAAAAAAGAGGTCCTGTAGGATATTAATGTGTTCAAAGGGATCTCAATGCCCAGCAAGACTGACAACAGTGTTAGCAAGTGTCAAGGTGCCCTCAGAAAAAATTTAGCACCAAATACTATACCAGGAGGCTTTCAGTCTCATTTTCCTTATCAATCTCTCTATCTCTCTGGGATCAAAAGCAAAAGGCCCAGAAGTATGATATGAATACATTAATAGGTATAAATGTACTTTGGAAGCTTATGGTTATTATTAATAGCATATCAATAACATATTAATATAATCCCTTGTTTGCTCAGCACCAATCCAGCCTGCCTTAGGAAAAAAACTCTCCTTGTTAGGTTTTGGCTTCCCTTCTGTCAGGGCCTACATTCATAATCATATGAATTGTTGGGCTTTTTTTAAAATAACTTCAAATTTCACAGAGACAAGAATAAGATATTAATTAATAAAGCTTCAAGATGCCAATTGCTTTGACTTCTAGTAAAAGGCCTCCCTCCTCTCCCTGGTTCAGAAGGGAAATGAGAAGTAAAATGGCTGAACATATGAACAGAGATCAGCTTCCCTGCTCCAGTGACTAAGAAAGGAAAGAACAGTAGTACAGTATTAGGCTTAAGTACCTCCCTGATCCCGACTAGTTCCTCTTGTTTTCACTGGTGCCTCCATCAAGTTACAACCTCAGCTTGCAGTCAGCAGCATCTCAGCCCCAGTCCTGGTCTCTTTTCTAATGCCCAGTGCTCCTGTTTGCTGGCACATCCTAGCAAGCACACAGAATTCCCAGCCAACATGGATACCTAACGCTCTTCTTTCTGGCCATTTCTTTTCCAGTTCCTTCAAAGTAAAAACAACAACTTGGGGGATTCTGGGGATTTCTGGTAGTATCTCTATGGTTACAATTCTAGGGGAATGGAGAACCACAATAAACCAGGCTTTACTGTGCTTATCCCATCATCCTCCCCCAACTAGGTAAGAATAGAGCATTACAGTATGAAAGGAAATTTAGTTAATCAAGTTAAATGAACACAGCATATCTTACCCTCATAGACAAGTTTAATTTGTTGTATTGATGTAAATGTTAAATTTTTAATAAAATATCTTAACAAAGAAAGAAAAGCAATTATTGTCAAGAAACATTGGCTCTCTCACAGTTAATCTTCACCATTTAAATCTAAAGTACCCCCCAGTGCCTGATATGGGAATACATTAATATATCTTTTTGAAATTGAATCTGTAAACTTCACCTCATTCAGGCCTTTATCTTGCCCTAATTTACCCTAGAATTCCCCTGCCTAGCCTTAGCCCTGCTGCTGACACTCAAAATTCATCTCACTCCTAATTCCCAGAGCCCTGTCTTCACCACAAACTTTGCCCTCCCTACTTCTGTACCTCAGCCCCTGCTTCAGCTTCTAACAAATCCTCCCTAGCCACCTAGGCTCCAATCCCCACCTCTTTATCCCTTATCACTTGCTAGTGTTCTTGCCTCATATAATTGGAACCTCCATCAATACTTAAAGCTAAAGGAGTAATTGTCAATGAATGAAGTGGGCCAGGGTTAATGAGGAAGAATCTCTGATCCCTGACAGAGGGGGGAATTGTGGTTGTCTGGTATTCCAAGTTGAAACTCTTAATACATTTTTCCATGCGAACATTTTTATACGTGTTGATTATGATAAGTATACTAAGTATATTGTGGATTAAATATGCTTTTGCAAGCTGACTTGGGAACCTACCTACCATGCTTAATACCTAAATGTTTCTCTGCACTAAAGAGGTCCATTAATTATCTCTCACCCACAGTTTGGCATAATGATGTAAGTAAATATTTTCGGTTCAGAGAAAAAAACCTCAAATTTCCTTTATAGAGATTCTGCTAAGCCGCAAGTTATAACTCAAAGTAATAGCAAATGAAGATGCTGTCAACAAAGAAGTTATTTAAGTATAGTAGAAGATAATGTCACAACTAATTTGAAATCTACACTTGATAGAGATACACTTCCTCACAGAAGATATAGGGCTGTGATCCCTTGCTAATAGCCAAAGATTTAATAAGTGTTCACCATAAGCAGGAACAATATTACTGCTATACCATTACTATATCCCTATATCCCTCTTCTGTATTCTCAAGGCTTTTGTTTCCCTTTTTCTTCACACTTTACTTGCTTTGTATCATTCACACCATGTCAACCATGTGATCAAGAAGCATGTAAAGCAAGATGACTGTAAAGGTAAAGGAAAGAAAAAAAATGTTGTAATTGGAGTAGTTTTGAAAGATGTACTTTGTTCCATTGTACTTCCAAATTATACTGTGACCCAGGTGTTTTTAGCCAAGTCTGGAGCATTTTACATGACACTCGCCTAATTAGTGAACAAAATGTTGACACAACACTGTGACTACGTTAGGGGAGAAGCTGGTACAAGAGCTTTGGAGAGGAGAAATATTCTTTTTCTTCAAGCAGAAATGATATGTAGCTTTTGGAAAGCGGGTCCTTAACACAAACAGAACTAATAAAAACAAGCAAAATAACAACAGGGTGAATAATAAAATCTAATGTAACCAGCTTTAGGGGTGTCAAGTCCTTTGGCAGTGTCCATGATCTTCAGGTGTCTGGCAAGCATTTCCTGTGTGTTACTCAAGCATCTGTGGATGGATCAGGGTAGGTTTGTGGAGGTATTTCTTTAACAATCATCAGGTACCAGGTCACTTGTGGAAATTCTCTAGGTAATGTTGATAAAACCTACTAGTGATAAGATTCAGTATAATTTAGTAAAACCCCACAAAATCTAATTTTGACCTTCCTATTGGCCTATTGGCCTTCCAGTTCATATGGTGAAAATCAGTTCAGACCTTATGGAGCTAATCTTATCAATGACAGAGATAAAAGACTATCAAATTAGAAACCCATAGTTCACCTGAAATTTCAGAGAATTTCAGTTTTTATATACCACTTGCTCTTTCTAGCCTGACCCAAACCCCATACTTGATAGGGACAATGCCATCAACAGGCTAAAGGAAGAATCTTTAAAAAAAAAATTTTTTAAAGAATCCATGAAGTCCTAACTTGTAAAATGAGCCCTTCTGTCTCTTAATATTATCAGAGAATCAGAGATTTCAAAATGGGGAAGAGGGAGAAATGATTTAAAATTTTCTTTACAATTATTAATGTAATTTTATATGTAAAGTCTTTAATCCAATTTTGAGAACTCATTACTAAAATATACTCAAGACATGTATATTCCATTAGGAATATTTGGAAATATATATCTCCTAGTTCTTAGACAAAATAGTCTAATCTTACCTTCTCAAAATTTTCTACTCCATTAAGTTAAAAAACTTTAACATCTTTATCTCAACCTCTACTTTTAAGGATATATGTTGTCCTCATATCATCCTGAAAGAATAAGATACTTTAAGGACCTAATTTTATACATGAATATATAACTATTAACAAGGGGATGGCAAGCCTAAGAACACATTTCCCTAGTTACTTAGGATATGGAGTTGACCACAAGTTCAGATTTGAAATAGTAAAATCTTTCACACTTGTATCCTATTATAGTAATTCTGAGAGATGTTTTAGTATTAACTTATTAATTAGTATTGCAATGAAAAAATCTTCTACAGTTCACCTGCCCTAATTTTAGAAATCTGCTATGAAAGGAAAAATGTGGGACATGGTTATGACAATATCAAGAGTGTCCTTTCGAGGACACAGACTGACCTGCCATAAGCCGTAACAGGAGGAAAACTCCCTTAAAAGTCATAATTAACAGCCAATGATGTAGCAAAGTTCTACAATATTCACAGGGTATCATAGCCAGACTCAGAATTAGCCAGGTGGGAAAATTTCCTGTTCAGAAAGGAAATAGCATTGGGGAAACTGAGTCAAGAGAGTCCTGCCTATATCCCCTCAACTTTCCCAGGCATAGACATTCGCCTCTAGCAATTCTCAGACCACACTTCCTTTGGGCAGCCCATGGCATTTTTCTTGGATGGTGGACTATGGGCTTAATGACAATTCAGACAACTATACCTAGATTTAAAACTCAGAACAATATCAAATTATAGTCCTGAGAGATTTTACCTCAGTAGCAAGTTTCACTAATCACACCTTAGGGCAGATACAGTTATTATTTCTATCACGTTGTTACAATAACAGTTAACAATAAAAAGTTTACTAAACTTTTAAAAAATTCGTTAAATATCCTTTTCTTCCTTTTCCCCCCTTCTTCTTGAGTTTAAACTCACCTGGCATAAAAATCAATCAATAGAAATTAAGAAAATAATTACACATAGATAGTGCTAGTTCACTCAAAATCCAGAAAAACACTGGCTACTTTCTGTAAGTGACCAGGCTAACAGATATCTAAAAATATTGTATTTTAACCCTAAACCACATTAGCTCATTTTTTTAAAACTTCTTCTCTAAAGGAGTCCCAGAAGGTACCTTTGATAAATATGTAAAGATAAAATATGTAAAGACAAAAGGAAAATGAGAAAATCCTGTACAAGGCATTAAAGAGGTCAACCATCCTTAACAGATTTTCCTTCTTCATTGGCAAGAGAGAAGTATTATACAGAAAATGTTCCTTTTTAATTATCCTGTTTTTTTCCAGTTCCTAGATTACTGGCTTTATTTCCTCAATTTGGTCTTCAGACAATGGGTATTGTTTAACATTTGGCCAGTAGTCAGTATCTTTATATTTTATAACCACTGGGTCCACTTATCCCTTAAAGGATGCTCCAAATTTACACATACTGAGGAGCTTCTGAGCACACCAGCCCTTCCTATCTGATTATCCCCTTCCTGTCTGATTATACAAATAAGGAATAGAGAGTAATCTATTTATCCAAGCAAGTAGCAAACAGAAATCAGATAAATCATGTAGATTAAAATAGACTAGAAAATACACACAGTAAATGAGCTCTTTGGATGAGCGTGAAATGAGATCTCAGTTCCACCAAGACACCCTTTTTGAGGGGCTAGTTTAGCTAATGTGCCTGTCACTTCCTAAGTCTTTCATGCCATGAGTCTCTCTCCACAGATAGTCTAGAACCACATGTTTCTTAAAGAAAAAAAAAAGTCCTTTCCAAAGCTCTTACACCAATTCCACTCCTCATGCAGTCATGCAGTGCCATGTTGGCATTCTCTCCACTAGTTAAGAGAGTCTCATTCAAAATGCATTAGAGTTCGCTAGAAACCTGGGTTACAGCATGTTTTAGTTTTAATTTGTGGCTACAATTTTTGTTGTTTCCAAAAACAATAGATAACAATATTTCCCCATTTTTAATCTTCCTTGTAGTTTCTCCACCAACCAAATCCATACAAACAGAAAAGAAAAACCATCTGTTTCCATATCTAGTTCCACGTCAATTGAAGCAAAATACAGAAGACAGTATATCTCTGCCAAATAAGGTACAACAAATTTGAAATCTCAAGTTTCTAAGTTGTTTCATTCATTTCCCCCCAAGTCTTGGATACTAATGCTAGGTTTTTCTTTTTATATAAATAATTTTTAATTACAACAAATAATTCTATTCACTAGTGTGAAAAAAATTAATTACCTGGAGAAAAATTCATCTTTTGCAATTATTCTAAATCTAATGTGAATTACAGGAGGTAAAATCCACAGGAAATGATCCTAAAAAAGAAAAATCAATCTATTTTAATCGTGAAGTAATCCATGATATCAATAAATTACCAAATGAGGATCCTGAAAAAATGTACAAAGGTATGTCTTAAAGTTTCCTTTGTTCTTATACAAATTGGAGAAATGAATGCTTCTCTTTATATCTTTAATGTTCATTAGAGAATTTTACAAACAAAATATTTTAAAAAATAGATTTCTAAAATAGTTGATAAAAGAATAAAAACTGTTAATGATCATTTGAAAAATATTCAGCTTTACTAGTAATCAAAACAAGATACAAATTAAAGAAATTCCAAATTCCACCTTACAGGGCAAAAATAATTAAAAACAATGAAACTTGTAGCTGGTGGTCCGGAGAAACAATATTGATGCAATTGCAAACTTGTGTAACCTTTTTGGAAAGCATCCTTTCCAATGCAGGACATAGTAAAATGCTTGATGGCTTTTTATTGAAGTTACAAAAATAATCATACCCTTTTACCCAATAATCTTTGGTGATATACCATAAGAAAGTTATCACAAGAAAAGTAAGTAAAAGAAAAGGCTCTATCTGTTCAAAGATTTATAAAACAGATTTTTTGTGTATTTGAAAAAATGCAAACAATCTAAGTGTCCAATACTAGGTAAATGTTTAAATAAACTGTGGCATATTGATGCAATTAAGGTGTTTTTTTTTGAAGTATAAAGAATATAAGAAAATCTGGAAGGACCTTAATGAAATAATATAAAGGAAAATCAACAAAAAAAAAACAGTGAGGAAGCAGGAAGGAACAAGCATTTATTAATCACTACTATGTGCCAGGCATTATGCTAAGCCCTTTACAAATATTATCTCATTTGAGCCTCACAACAACCCTGGAAGCAGGTGCTATTATTATCTCCATTTTATAGATGAGGATCCTGAGGCAGATAAAGGTTAGGCAATTTGCCCAGGATCACTAAGCTAGTAAGTGTCTACGGCTGGATTTGAACTTAGGTCTTCCTGTCTCCTAGATGTCTGGGTGGTGCAGTGGACAGAGTACTATGCCTGGAATCAAGAAGACCTGAGTGCAAATCTGGCCTCAGACACTTACAAGC